AAGCTAGCTTTTTAAAAATCTACTTAGATTAGCTTTTTAAGAGATTTTAAAAAAAATTCCAAATATGCCCCTTAATTAATTATAAAAACACTTTCTTTTAAATGCCTTTTTATGTCATTTTATATCTTTCAGCTAGTTCTACCAAACGTTATTTTTATCAACTAGTTTTTCAGCTACCAGCTAGCTTTTTATTTAACAGCTAGCTTTTCAACTATCAATTAGCTTTTCAGCTAACAGCTAGCTTTTCAGCTCGTACACCAAACATAGCCTTAATCATTTTAATGAATATCTTGCTACAAGTCATTGTTAATGCATGAGAATTCAACCAAGTATTTTATGAGGGTTCATGTAGATGTAGTCCTTGTGCCAATTATGGTGTATAAATGGATCACATTTTGTATGTAGATGATCTTTAATAACTATGCATGTCCTCTTGAGATTGGATCAAGTAAACACTTACAAAACATGTGTAAAAAAGATAATATATTTTCAATTTTAAAGATGTAAGTATGTAACAGTTCATTCGCTAATAGATAGTTGTACCATCCCTAGTTAGTCATTGGATTTTTATATAACCAATGTAATTTATTAATTTGTTCTCTACTATATTATGAACATTTTATCAGTTTGTTCTCTAGTATTATTATTGAATATTATACAGTTTTATATAATCATTTTATGGAAAAGCATAAGAGGTGTTTTTAGAAACAAAACAAATATTACACAACACATTGTGAAAATAACTAACATGCTTGTTAAAACAACCATAAGTAATATACAATCAACATATTCTATTTTTCATACTTCAAACTAATGTTTTCATTATGATTTTTTAACTCCAACTATATTCGTTTGAGTTCGTCCAGTTCTGATATTTTATCATCAATGTTCATATTATTTTTTATGTTATTCTTCATCTTCTTCAACCCAAGCCAATTTTCTCTAGTTCTAATTATGTATCTTTCATCATGTCATGCGGTTCAAGTAGAAAATCTATATGGCTTTGTAGGGATAGTTCTTCATCTATCCATTTGAAATACTTACAGCCTTTCATCTCGTCTTATAACAATAACACTAACGTATGAGTACATTACACTTCACTTCAAGATAACAATAACAATAACGTATGAGTGCATTACACTTCATTTCAAGATAATTGTTATATACCTTAAAATTAAGACATCCATAAAACTTTCTACCTTTGTTTAGGGGAGTCGATAAGGTAATGGAGCTACAACATCATAGTGACACAATTGGATTCGAGCATCTCATATGAACCTCCTTCGTGGAAAAGCTTAGTAGAGAATTTGATGAAGCCATTAAGAAGAAAAAGGAGGTTGGTCGCTTAAATAAGGAAGTTAGTCACTTCGAAGGTATATTTAAGTGGAAAAACAACTACATGAATTGTTCATGGGCATCGCCTCTCAACAATCACTACTTAGCGAGATTTTTGGATATCATACTTGCTAGCTGTAGCGATATTTGTGTGTTATTTGTGGAAGTTTCGTTTCCTATGTGACTATTAGTGTGAAATGCAAAACATATGTGAATTACAATATATGTTTAATAAACATAATATTTTCCATACAAATGGTCCCATCATATCACATTCTCCATGTAAAATGTGACCACTAGGTTGTAGATTAGTCTTGCATGTTGTGTGTAAAATGTGACCACTAGGTTGTAGATTAGTGTTGCATGTTGTGTGTGTATATGTAACCTTGATAATTTTATGAATTTAAAATCTATATTAAGAGACGAGACAGTGGTTCATATGTTAAAGTTTATTAGAGTAACCATGAATGTTGGAATATGTAAAAAAAACACCTTCATTTTGTCTTATCCTATTATGATTTACAATAGTCTCTCTTTATCCGATACATCCACTCATTCAAGACAAATTGTTTATTCTGAACAAGATTCATCTAACTTTCATTTCAGTTCCTTCAAACCCCGATAGATCTTTCAAATCATGTCGTAAGAACTTTAGGTGTTGCAAAACAAGTTCTAGATATAACTATATTGATCCAAGTTGCAACCATTGTTCTCAAAATTTCCCTTCTGCCTCATCCACTTTCTGAGTCAGTACAAATCCTACAAAATCAGTACCACCTTTAAACGCAATTTTTTTAAACGAAATGAAATTCTAAAAAATAGTATTACTTTTTATTTCTTTTTATCGTAATATAAACAAACTTCTCAATGAATGAATGTTTAGTTTTCAAAGTTGTGTTATCTTGTTGGTGGAATCAAACATTAGTTAACATGAATTAGTCATGGAGATATTTATTCATGTACACTAATTTTCAAGAATATTATATAATAAATGTGATATGAATTCGAATAATATAGTTACATGAACCATAAATGATTAAACCAACAGATAAAACGAACCAACTAGTCACAAGCAAATTGTTATTTGCTAAATATTATCTGACAATAGTGGACAAAGAGAATTATACTGCCTAAAATGATATTTTATTCTGCATGAGAATTAAGATATCAAAGATAGGCTAAGTTGTATCTTTTCCTTCTTCCATGTTTGTCGAGAATCACAATGTAAATACTATGAGGTTCTTGAAGGTAGGATATATATGGACTTAAATAGGATCCTCACAATTCTTCAACATTTAGCAATATAAATTTATGACTACAAGTATGTATGGTTAAACGGTAAGTCCGGAACAAGCAAATTATTAAGATTCATGAAGGAAAAACAAATCCACAAATGGTTATTGATACCAATTAGATAAGGACCGTAAACATTATCTTAAATTGTATATGTGAATATTTATATAATATCGTTAAAAGATTATGTATTTGTTTTATGTCATTTCAAGGATCCTTACTCATCTGCAGACTCATTTGCAGACTCGTTTGCAGACGATTTTAATGGAATATATGGCTATTTGATTAAAGTTTGAAAAATATAGTTTCATAAATATATGAAAACTCATGGTCATTTTTGTGAATAACTGTATGAGCATACTTTTTTTTCTAAATTTGGCATGCGACTAAAATATAACAGTTGACAAACGTTTAGTTATTTACAAAACTAATGAGTTCTTATAAACAACACTCATAGTTTCGAGGGAAATTGACATTGTAGCACAACGAAGTTTTGGCTTTGTCCCGGATTGGTCACTCAAGTTTTCTTTTGACCAATCAGTCCCTCAACTTTCAAATTACCTGTTAATTACTCCATTTAGATCGATTTTAGACGGTTGTCCGGTTACGAAGCTTACTTTGCAATCCGACGTGTAAGATAAGCTAAACCGTTACTGTAGCTACTCAACCACGTCGCAACCCGGTCATCACCTACCTAATAAATGATAAACTCATATAGCACACTCTCAATTACATAGTTTCCTTCATCCAACCATTCAAGCAAAGTTTTTCAACTTAAGAAATCTCCCGATGGCTTCCTCATCCTCCACCAGTCGAACGTTGAGGCTACGAGGTTCCAACGCCGACGACGTAAACTACCCTCCCAAATGTGACTGTGAGAAACCCTCATTGCAACGAACATCATAGCGCATTAGAAATCTTGGTAGGAGGTTCTTTAATTGTCGTTATAGCTTGGTGAGCTTCTGATCTACCCATATTTACTTATATGTTGATAATCTTTTACTTAATCTAAGCTTTATTCAAGAAATTAGGGTTTCAAAAACCCTAATGAGTCTGACATGAACAATACAGTAAAGAGTACTTGATTAACAACTATGATATTTTTTGTTTGTTTACTTGTTTAACAGACCACTATTTATTGATTAATAGCTACGTCTTGTGCGTGTTTAAATGATTAAAAGACCAAGGTTATGAAATGCGACTTCTTTGAGTGGATAAATGATGAGTTGGAAGATGGTTACTACAAAAAATTGATTTACTCAATGAATCAAAATTTCGACAGTAGAGAGGATCACTCTGAATTGTGTAAGTGCAGGATTAAAGTGGTAGAGTTGGTGTTTCTCTTATAAAAGGAGAAGAATGATGTTGAGAGGCTGTAGAACCTCCCGGGTCACTCAAACAAGGTAGCTGCTAGGTTGAAGCTTGTTGTTGTGGTTCTTGTGGTGGTTGTGCTTTGCCTTTGGATGTTATGGATGTGAAGTTAGTCGAGGATGGGGGGTTTTTGTATATGTCTTAGACTTAGGTTGATGATAAAAAATCCAACCTACTTTTGGGGGCTTTGTTATATGATTGGTTGATGATAACAATTCCAAACAACTTTTGGGATCATTGTAGTAATGTATGCAGTTTATGAATACAGCCAAGACCGAATGATAGTGCCTTTTGTACTAGAAATTCATGGTTTTGTAAAGTCTTTTGACATTATTATAATGAAATGTGTCCTTATATTATCGTCAATTCGAAAGTGTGTGTGTGTAGGTGTATTAGATTCCTAGACCTTGTAGAAGTACATTGTCTATGTTGTTTACAAGGAACTGAGTGCATTGCATGTGTAGGAATGGACCACATCTCCTTTAATAATAACATGGGACCATAAATGTTGGATTATGCAGAAGTGGACCAGTTTGTGTCCACTTTGTTTCCCTTTTTATGTGTAGGAATTGGCAAAGTAATAAAAAATGAGGACCACATTGTTTTGGTCTGTGTATATCATGCACATTTTATGATAATGTACCATATTACCCATCTGTGTGCATAGATGTAATAATAAGGCAACCAACCTAGTATCATGTAATAATAAGGCAACATACTTTCATACATTTCAAATTCAACACATAAATTAGATAATGAAGTATCAATCGATCCAAACCTTACATAAATTAAAACTACCAAGTATCAAGGGATCTAAATCTTAAAACAACATAACCATATTAAAACAAGATTACCAACACTATCCTAGTCTATATGAAGACCTTTTCACTTGAATTCCCTGGAGCATGCTCATCACCTACTCTCTTACCCAACTTCAACTTCACGATTCTCTCAAACTTTCTTCTTTTGATCCTCCTCAATAAGTCAGATATGTGTGGTACTTATGGGACCTCTTGAACTTGAACATTAGCAACATTGACATCTTCAACGTGGATATTACCAACATTGAGCTCTTGAACTTGAACATTAGCAACATTATCCTCTTCAGCTTCCATATCATTAAATAAATCTTCAATGTCAGTACAAACATCATCTAATCCCTCTTCAACTTGCACCCCACCTAATCCCTCTTCAACCTGCACATTAACTTGGATATCTTCTTGAACCTGTGTTTGAGTAACTTCCACCTCAATTGGAGTTAATTGAATTTCTTCTTGTTCTTGACCTTCATTTGTAGTTACCTAGATAGCATGGTGAAAGATTGTTATGTAAGTCATGAAAACCTAAATTTTATGTACAATACAAATAAAATGTATGTAGTTAATACATTAATATTTTTTTTCTTCCTTGTCTTCTTTACATTAAGTTTTTGGAGTCTTCCCATAGAACAAGTTGCTTTATTGTGACCTAGTTGCTTGAAAATGTTGCACTTCACCCCCTTCCAGTTTTGGAAACCTTCTTGATGCCATTAGTAACTGTTTAATCCTTCTTCTTTTTTGTCTGTGTTCTGCCATTATTTTCTGTGGAATCCCTCTTCCTTTTAATAGTTGGTCTTCCAGACATCCTTTTACTCATAGGGGGACAGGGGGTAATGGTGGCGTGTATTCAGTTTCAGGCCACATGTTAGACCTGATGGGTTTTGAGCACTACATCAATCCTATGGTGTACATGCAAACCCTAAAGATTTGGATCTAGTTTGTCTAATATACATGCAATAATCATCCACAGCTCATAAACCCTAGATCTAGCATATGATGAACAATATTAACATAAGAATAGGGTTTAGATCTTACCTTGATTTTTATGTAGCAATAACAATCTCAATTCCTTTTGATGTTGACCTTTGAAAGCTTAGTGCCTCAAATGTTGCACCTCTAATGGAGTCACAAACACCATGAACAACAAGATGACCTAGGAAAAGGAGGAGGAGCACCAAAAACATCCAAGAACCCTTAGGGATTACTTCACCACGTTTTTGGGGCCTTAGGGGTTCCTTATATAGGTAGGCTATTAGGGTTTTCAATTAGGAAACCCTAATTTGACTGCTTAGGACCTAAGCAGCCTATAGACTCCCTCCTTAGAAGCCTTGGACGAATTCTAATGGGTTTCCCCATAGATTTCGTCCACTCCAACTTCTATGGAGTCCACTAGCCCAATATTCAACTATCACACAATTGACAGTTCTAGTCCCCTTTATTTAATCAATGTCTTTTAGCCACAAAATTAATTCTTATTAATTCTTGACTAATATTAATTAAACAATATGATTTCTCTCTTAATATATTATTCATATAATATATTAATAAATCATAATTAATCCTTTTTCTCCTTAGTCCATCCTATCAGTTGCTATGGTGAAGGCAACCCAGAAGGACCATGCTCACAATCGGGTCAAGTACATACCAAAATAGTTATGGGCTTAGAGACCTAATCCAACAGTCCCCCACTTAGATAAGTCTAATAACTATATTGCGTATGACTTCAGAACCTGATCAGCAATCGTAGCTTTCAAAAGTCGTTGTCGAACTCTTATCATATCAGGAACGTGTCCTTTAGATAAGGGATCATATATTCCTCCATTCTGTATATCGTATAGACATGAGACATGGATTATAATCATTCTCTCAGTCTATGTGTTGTTTCCCGAATTCCGATTTATGACGACTGACAACAGACTACAATTGAACACATCAACTCAGTCCCGGCTTGGCCAAACGCTTAGGGGTGTCATCACTAAATCATCGAGGGGCCCACAGATATCAGTTTTATCCCACTTTGGGTAAAAGGAACAGATAAAATTTGACTCAATGCTCGCTTGTACCTACTCATCAAATCACACACAACAATATGTTTTATAACACCAAGTTACTGGTGCGTTAACATATTATCAATGTGCAACCAACTTGCAGAATACAACTCATACGTCTCGGTTTCAAGAATATAAGATATTATCGTCTCACCAATCACTCGTGATAAAATCCATGAAGCGATCCAAGTGAGCGTGGGTTTAATCCAATGCTTAAATCATATTCATAAGCACTCATGAACGTTGCAACAAGAATAATCGAATCCAATATGGCCCCAAACTTTTGAGTATAAATAAAACTCCGTTTATTTAGTCACCATATTGATTACACATTATTCACTGTATAATGTTTTGGATAATCAACTTATTACTTGAATTATAACAACAGTTGTCCCATGCTCCAAGCATGCACACTATGTTTACCTATGGTCCTTACTTTGTGAAACATATCAACTGAACACATTTCCAATGATACTTATTTCACAATTCCTAATCCTTATCATTAGTGTAAGAATACAAGATTCTTGTCACTATTAGAATATGTTAGATTCGAACATTTTATGCAATGATCCTTTTGTAATCTTATTGCACAAAAGTCACCAAGACTTCGCCAATGAAATTACAAAGTTCTCTATTAGGGATTGTTACAAGACAATTTCATAGATGTGAAGTCTCACATTCAAAGTACATTCCTTTGAACATCCTTCTTGCATAAAAGTTTCTAATATAGACATGGATTCTCAATATCCAACTCCCAATATGGAAACATTTCCATATTTGCCATATGACAACTCATTGTGAATAGAGTCTTATCTATTCATAATAATGTTGATATGGTCCATTCATTACTATACTTCCAACTGCTCACAAGCGACCAATCCTTAGCGAACCTTAGATTGTCCTTGACAGTTCCGGTTCTAGTCCTTTTTCCCTCTTAATGCCCTAGGCATTTGGAAAATTTTAGAACAGTCAAATATTACGGCATATACAATCGAACCTATACCCGAAGCGTATGGGACACGATTCATAATGAAAAACGTGATACTTTACCAGTTTCTTGCTATAATATTGCCATATATAGAATCCTTTTAAGTTGAATCTTTTCAACATAACATCCATATATGTCCTTTGACTAAATTTGATTAAAATTTCTCGATCCAAGCTTTTAGATTTTGAAACGAAGTATAATATTCTCTCCCATAATTATAGCAAAACAACTTTTCAACCCCTGCAACTTTGCAAAGTGAACCTTTTGTTTTCTATAATTAACATTGCTAACTTGCAACACTTAAAATAATAATCATGCTCCCACTAACATGATGATTATATCCATACCAGCATAACATTTATGCTCCCACTAGCTTTGACACGTATTCATAAAACCATTGGACTTCTAGAAGGCAATACTTATTGACTTCCAAAGTTTATATTTCTATTACGATATGCTTCGACAAGCCTTTATCTAAGCTTCTCATACACCTTTCCTTAGACAACTCACATGTGTGTCTAAACAATTCTAGAACTTACAGCAAAAAGTCTCGAATGTTCAAACTAATTGCCAAATCTCACAATTCGAACTATGATGAGGGATGCCGTAATCATAATCGAATTTAAGAATGCAATTTACACACTCGTTATCTCCTTAAAATCTCTCTTAGTGAAAGCGTTTCCTCACAATCATTTTCATGAAGGAGAGAAACGTTATGACACTTAGATTTTATGGTGTATGTCTTCCTATCCATGTGAATTTGTCATAACCATAATCATAAGATAATGTTTGTGACAAATCCAAACTCTTATGGACAGAACTTGTTCATTCTTAATTTCTTGCCATCAAGGGTCCCACCATTGCTTCCAATATATTTAGCAGCTCACCCCTACCTATCAATGTACTTTCCATTGATCAGGGTGCTTTCCCTTATGCAGTCAATTGAGAACTCGTAGAACTCATATGCATAAGTAACTTTACTGGAATGGCACAGAAACAAGAATATATCAACACGATAGGTTACAAACCTCAAGTCATGTGCTAGTGTTTAATAAGTTTACTCTCGATTAGTTCTTGAACCTTTTCAAGATCATTTAGACTCCAACTGACCTCTTGACATATAGGATTCTCTTGTCAAGAAACATTTATTGACAAACAAATATTCGAGAGTTAGTGAGGATTCTTATCAAGACAAACCACTACACATAATTGGTCTTAGTTGGTCTTTGTCTTATCCAAGACATCACAACTTACCAATTTCAAACGTGCAAGAGTAAGAAAAACAATTTTCTACTCTACATTTGATGAGTGTGTTAAAACTTCTTAAGATATGTCACTCAAGTCACGATCTTGGAGTATGACTCTAAGACTTGATTTTGGAACGAAGTATGACTCACCTATTAAATTTAACCATTTCAACAATTTCCGATTCCTCTTCTTAGCCATACTAGTGCACTAAGATTTACTTAGAGGATCAATTGTGATATGATTCTTAATCATTAAGACGATCATAAAACACGATACAAAAGTACTATCCCATCTTTTCAGATTAGAGAAACTTTTATCTTTCTGCCTTATTGATTCTTCTTATTCGTTCTGCCATTCATTGAAACTCTTTCAACAACTCAGAATTACACTTAATCTTATAAGTATAACCATATTTACTAAGCTTTAGTAAATCATGACAAATAATTTATCGTTCTTTGTGGTGGACTTGACCAGTGCACAACATTATGTACCAGCTCTCCTAGTCCTTCACTTGACTCTTTGTCAAGGAATTAGTCTCAATTTTCCAAATATGAAGGTTCTCATTCATCTTACAATACAAGTTGTATGATTCCAAGTTTCTATCCAATTGAAACTCGGGCGACAAGAATCTTTCCCTATTTGGTAAATTCTCGATATTTCCACAAATAACATAACTAAGAATCACATCCATTTCAACATTGCTAAAAATAAAAATACACAAACATCAATTTTCATACATGCCATTGCAAGGAATTATAAATAAAGACAAAAACCAAAATTTATTTTATTTATAAAGGTGCGGAAGACTTATCCTTACAATGCAATTCAAATGAAAACTATGTTATTACATAATCCTAAGCAATCTATCATAACTCTCTAAGTAGCAGCTCCAAAAATCCGATCATCGAATCATGCGATCGAAATCCATTTCTTCGCTATCAGACTCAGCTCACTTCTTCCTTTAAGCTTCCTTTCTTTTCTTTGATCATACAAAACACCAAATGTAATCTTATCACATCATGTATTTAGAATCTAAAATAGAAAAGTTAATAGAGTTAGATAGTGGATTTTTACCTGAATCAGAGTCATACATCTTGACTCTCCCATCTCTTAGATGTCTCAGGTAGTCAGGGCAGCTTCGTAACCAATAACCCCTCTTTTGGCAGTAGAAACATATGGATTCTTATGGAATGGTACACGGGACTATCTCAGACTCAGCTTTTCTCTTGCGTAGAGAAAACTTTTCTGGACTTCCAATGTCGCCATTGCCCATAGAAGGTTGGGACATTGATTTACCAGACAAATTTTCTCGACCAGTGTGCCAAATCATTGCTGATTCAGC